ATATAAATAAAATACAAATATATAAAAAATATACGTAAATCAACAAAAAATGCTTACATTAAAATAGTTATACTTCTCAAAAAATGTCAAATTCCTATTGTAACCAATTAATTATTCTAAAATTGCAAATATTTTGAACTGTTTCCTACTCTACCAAGAAGACTTTTTCCTTCCTTGTGCAAAATTTTTGCAAATTCTTGACAAATTTCTGTATAATTAAATTTAATCATTAGTTCAGATTATTTCTTTCCTCTAGGCTACAAACAGACTAAAAATGCTCTCAATCATCGCGTTTGAGTGAGGAAGAGAAAAAACAAGAGCAAATTTTGAAAACATAATAAACCCATTGCTGCTTAATTTTAATGTCTTTAAAATTTAGTGGTGGGTTTTCCAAATATGATGACAACTTTACAAATTCTTCTAAAAGTAGGTCAATATCTAAACCAATGGCAAACTTATCAGAATTTTTTTATGAAATCGTCCAATTTAGGGTTGTTTTCAAATCCATCGCCCCCAGAAAAATAAAAGTTGGACCTTGGTAGAGATTACGACGGAATGACCGATAATTTAATAGTATCGTTAGCATATTAATAATCTTTTAATACCTATTCAATGTAAATTCGGGGTAAATTAGAAGATTTCCTAAAAAACGGGAGGTTTATATCTTAGTTTAAAAAGCGGGAGGGAGTGTGAGAAATCGGGAGACTCCCGCCTAAATCGGGAGGTATGGCAGCCCTAGGCGTAACACATTTTTTTCCATATTTTTCAGCTATTACCTTGTCCGCACGCCACTGGTTAAACAAAAGCCACTGTGTTTACAGTAAAACACGCAACGTTACTAACTCTCAAAAGCTGCAAAAATTTAATTAAAATATCTCAAGTGGTTTTGGAAATATTTAAAAAATTGTATTTTTTTTATGAAACTTTCACACCCTGTATTTCCATAACGAAGCATTTTTGACAAAAATACCTCTATTTTAGCTCCAGAATACGCTCCTGAAGTTATGTACCGTACTTATCGAACACCCCTGTATATTTCGAAACTTTGATCAAACGATGAAAAAAAAAATGACAGTAATACAAAACCAGTTTAATTATATTTTCGTAATAATTCACAATCAACAATATGCTAAGTATGTATAAAAACAAAATAATATCTTCCTCCATTCTAAACTATACATAAATATATACAGAATGTCCCATTTTAATCTATTATAACTCGAAGTGTCCAAAAAAATATTTTGTGGTCCCCTTTTTTGCACAACCATCTTTTATAAGTGTATAAATATCGCAGGACTAGTAGTTTTTTGAGACATTTCTAGTTATCGCTGTATAAATATATATTACTCTGGAACAAGCGTATAAAAGGTGTTGTTATATTCAAAAAACAGTGGTAAACACAGATAGAATAAATAAAAAAGAAGTGATTTATTTGATTTGAGTTTTCTGTGGTAATTAATGATTCATTCTTATACATTAGTCAAGCATAATTATTTGTAATTATCTTTTTCTTATTTTGTCTGGTTGGTTAATAAATATAATTATTATTATTATTAGTTAAAAAAAATAACTTTAGAAGGTTTAAGACCTTGGCAACACCGTATTGTTTCATTTTGCAAGTCTGCATTTGGCAATCAGTTTTTTGTTATGTTTGTTAAAAGTAAATGGTTCAGTTTATCTTAGTACATAACATAGCAATAAATCAGAACTATTTTTGAATAATCTATAAAATTATTATCTGATATTTTAAAAGTTTGTATAAAATTTGCAATTTGTAAAAATTGACAAATTTTTCAAATTTTCTTCCTATACTTTTATCATTTTTCTAAATTCGTTCTTTCAATATTTCGTAAAAAAAATAATAATAAATTTATGAAATTTCCTATAAACGCATGATATTTTTTGTTGAAATATATTTTAATTTACATGGCTGTAATACAATTTTCATCAATGTCAGTTGCAAAATCGATTAAATGAAGAATGTCTACCATTACAATATTTTTTGATAACTTGGCAACACCGCTTATTTCCTAGTTCTTAAATCTACATATATGATAGAAGTATGTAAGGTTCCAAATGGCTTACCCTGTATATCTTTGACAAGCAAGCGGTGAACAATTTAAATTAGGTCATTATTTTTAATTTTTATTTTTTATTAATGAGTTACGCATATCTATCGGAAAAACCAAACATCATTATTTTAATTAGGTATTAATTCCATGAATATTTTTTTTATTATACATTATCATTTTTTAGGTATGATTCATATTAGTGATATTAACAATAGTGTTTTTACACTTATTAATATTTACTCTTTTATTCATCATTTTGTCAAACAACTGTTGATACAAAAATTACAAGTAATACACGTGGAAATTTTCTACTAAGCAGTTTTCATCGTCTCCTCTTTATTAAACTTTATATTGTGTTTTTTAATAAGTTATTGGCACTGTTTTGAATAATTCTCCTTAACTTAAATTAAGTTTTATCTAGCATACCTAGTAATTAAAGTTAGAAAAAATATATTTTTAGTCTTTTACATTTATTTAAAAAAAAACACTAGATTAGAAATGTCACATAATATATTTCAGATTTCAAATGAAAACTTATCATTGCATTAAAAAAACCCTTATCATTTGAATATAACAACACTTGAGATTATCTACAAGTAGAAAAAAATATATATTAAAAAAAACCAACAAAAATATCTTCTTATTACTATCAAAACATTTTTAAATATAATGAAATTATAATAAATAAGTTGTACAAAAAAAAATTTCCTATGCATTTAAAATAATCGATAAAAGTATAATAATAAAAAAATAACAATTAACACAGCCATCCCATGAAAGATAACAAGAAAAAATATCCAAAAAGTAAGAACAGGTTATTGTTAAAACGAGATATATACGAGGTTTGAGCAATAAGTTTTTTAAAATTAAAATAAAAAGGAAATATTTTAATCTCCCAAAATTTATACATTTTTTGTCCTGTTAAAAAATACTAGTTTAGTTTATTATATTTACCTATCAGAAAATAAATAATATTTTAGCAACATAGTCTGGTTGGTTATAATATGTATATTAAAAAACAATATTTCATTTTGAGGGATTTATATAACTAAAATTGCTAAAAAATATTTTAATCATTCCTTTTTGAATAACGAGTGTTGACAAAATCGATTAATGGAAATAATCGATTATTTAAAATATTCGATCGATGGATTCATAAAAATAATCGATTAATCGAAAATAATCGATTGATCGAAAATAATCGATAAATCGAAATTAATCTAACTTATTTCAAATTAATCGAAATTAGTCAACAATTATCAAAATTAATCGAAATTAGTCGAAATTAATAGCAATCAATAGAAATTAATAGCAGTCAATCTAAATTAATTGAAATTAATCAAAATTAATAACAGTTAATCAAAATTAATAGCAATATATCGAAATTACTAACAATTAATCTAAATTAATCTAAATAAACCTAAATTAATCTAAATTAATCGAAATTAATCTAAATTAATCTAAATTAATCGAAATTCATTGAAATTAATCGAACCTAATCAAAATTAAGAGCAGTAAATCAAAATTAATAGCAGTATATAGAAATTACTATCAGTTAATCGAAATTAATAGCAGTTAAACGAAATTAATAGCAAATAATCGAAATTGAAGCAGTTAATCGAAATTAATAGCAATATATCGAAATTAATAGCAATTAACCAAAATTAATAAAAATTAATCGATATTAAACGAAATTAATAGCAGTTAATCGAAATTAATCAAAATTAATAGCAATATATCATAATTAATAGCAATTAATCGAAATTAATCCAACAAAAAATTCGATTAATTTATTATTTTGCACACCCCTACCATTTGTATAACCTTTATTCGAATAAACAATCATAAGATACTTGATATAAAGCGAAAGTAATCGTTTAAATAATCGAGAATATTTGAAAATAATCGAATATAATCGAAAATAATCAAAAATACTCGAAAATAATCGAAAATAATCGAAAATAAATAATCGAATATAATCGAAAATAATTGATTAATTATTGCTTTAATAAAAAATTAATCTGAATTGCTACTAAATCATTAACATTTCGAAAAGTTGGTACCCCTAAACCCCTCCGACCTTGTGTGCCTCACTGTATTTATGTATTAATTTTTGGGAAAGTCAATACCTCTTAATTATGTGTACCTCTATGTTTCAAAATATACAAGGCGATTTATTTGTTGGAAGTTATATTTTAAGAAAAGTACAAAAACCACACATTTTCTGACAAGTATTAGAAATAAAAAATAAAAAAAAAAACCGACTTTAAAAACGTACAGATGCCATCACCACATTTTAACCAAATTTATATAGGACCACCCCTGAGGTACCCCCTTACTAACAAAAAAAGAATCATATAAATCAGACAAGGTGGTAAAGCATTATAGCTAAACATACATAAAAAATTAAGAGTTTGAGGATTTTCTCATGGACCGAATTATTAGATTTTGATCAAATTTATATGGGACCACTCCTGAAGTACCCCCTTTCTAACAAAAAAAAAGAATCATTAAAATCGGACATCGTGTTAAAGAATTATCGCTGAACATACACCTCCTCCTTTTTTGAAGTCGGCTAATAAAAATAGTTAAATATCATGAAAATTATGATTCAAATTATTGAATATTGTAATAATATTGGTAATAACAAAATCATATTTGACTCAATTTTATTGAGAATAAATAAAGTATTAATTTGTCTAATCTATTAAAAAATAATAATGTTCATTTAAATATACTTAATAAGTAATTTTTTTTAAATCTCCTTCCTCTGTCCCTCCCTATACTACGTCACCAAAAAACCTGTCTTTTAATAACAATTAAATTTATATTTTTTTATGGTAAACATTTTTTGATCAAACCTCGTATATCGCAACAAATAAAATAAAAAAAAATCACTGATAAATTCAACAATACTTCAGGAACGATTTACATATGTTTAATCTCGGATTTGAATTCCGTCAAAGCCGTGTGTATCCTAAAATGCAACCTAGATTCCAGCGAATAACCAGTATAATTTTTTTTAGCATCTTCTAAAGCTAAAATAGCTTTTTGTCTATTACCGTTGTACCACTCTATAAGAGCTAGTTCTACGATAGCGTACGGTACGATGTAAGTATCTTCGATGATCGATTTATTCATGGAAATTACCGTTTCTAGATTATCTAGGGCTTGTAAAGGACTACCCATTTGTCTGAGACAAGATCCTTGAAGCAATAGAAGCAATGCTTTGTTATCGTTGTAATATTTAGACTGTTTACCGCTAGAATCCAGGTTTAAAATTGTTTTTTCGATTAGTGTTAAAACCTTACCTCCTATTGATAGATTTTTGAACATTTTAAATAGATTCCACAAAAACATTAGTTCCACAACTGGTAAAATTAGATTCCTATTCTGGGAGAAGTACCTTTCAGCTTTCTTCAGAGCGAATTTCTCCATTGGCAACGATTTTCCAGCGATGCGTTGTTTGTATTTTGGCACATCTTCCATTAGCCTATCGATTTCCCCTTGTTCTTTTGATGTTAAACTATCTTTCATCATACATAAAATAGCTGCTTTTTGATAGCTGTACATAGTACGCGACCATTTGCTATGTTCAACGAGTTCTGCACTATAATACAACGCCTCCTTCCATTCTAGATTCAAACAGTGCACCCAAACTAACTCCCAGAAGCAAATGTGATGGAATTGCGGCCAAATATTTTGAGATTTCCAAGATTTTACGTACCAATCCTTGCTTTCATTCAAATTTCCTTGAAGGAATTCTAATCGTCCTTTGAAAAATAGGAACCACACACTTTTAGGATGTTTTAACAGTCTTTTATCGATAATGTCTTTGCACAGCTTTATATCACCTTCCCGATGGCTCAAAACGTGAAGGACTATTAAATTGTAACCTAACACAGCCATGATGCACAGGATTTGACGAAGGCCTTCGGTTTCACAGCCAATAGTAAGTTCGGTTAAACCTTTTTGCTTGTTGCCGGAAAAGCCTATGAACTCCAGAAGCTTGATTACTCTTGCTGGTAGCATTGATATCATCAGATTGAACACTCCAATTCCAACTCTAACACCACCTTCGTAATGTTTCTTCGTAGGATCTTTTTCCCAGTTTCTGTTTAATAAAATTTGATGGCAATCTTTGTAGGAGTTGAAGCAGGATCTTATTTTTAAACCAGCTTTAATGAAGCTGCTTAACGTTTCGTCTTCTATAAAAGTAAGCATTGATTTTAGAAGCATAGCTTCGGCGTGGCATAATTCCGCGTGGGCTTCCAATTGGGTAAACAGTTCGTAATGAGATCTTCTTACGACTTTTCCTATAGATTCAGTCAGAGTGGATTTTTTTCGGAATTTGTTGCAGACGTTCATCGATGATTTCAATGCGATTGAAGCTTCTTTTATAGCGGTTTGCTCAAAAGTAAGCATCGCTTCCATGTATAAGAAAACAGAGTGGCCTAGAGAATGGTACATGCTTACTTTAGAGTATGGAGCCATCAAACTTTTGGCTTCTCTGAATTGATTGTTGAAAAAATACTCCAGAGCTTTGTGGCTTTCGTCTAAAGCTTGATGTAAGGACATGTTGTTGGATAAAGGTAGATCTTCGGCGTCTTGAAAATCATCTTGATCGTCATCACTGTCGTAAATTCGTTCGGTATTCATTTTAATAACACTTAGGTAAATATAAACAAATAAGGAAGTAACCGCACATGTGATGAACGAATACAAACTGCGCTAGTCGTGTTATTTTTAGTCGCTCCCTTCTCCAACGCGAGTTGCCGCGGTTAAATCGATATCACAATGGATCTCGAGCTCACTCACGATTAAATATGTTAAAAGACATAATTATTTACATTGCGTTGAATCAAGGTCGTGGTCGTTAGATTGGTTAGATACATTTGAATAAAAAAAAACAGTGTTTTTTTTATAAATTTATAAATAAACTGCACTATACCCGTTCACTGTCTAACTTGTAGTTAATCTGGGTTTCAAATAATTATTAACTTTCACGTTTTGATACTTTCTCTGTTTCGTCGGATTGTTGGCTTTCACTGCTTTAAAAGAACATTAATATTTATGTTTTATTTTCACGTTTTTGAACTGAGAACAAGTGGCGTTTGTTTGTAATTGGTTGAGATTGTATGTATGAAATTGTTGTTACGTCATTTTTTATTGTGATTTTCTGTAATGATACGGTGGCTAGTATTATATATGATAAGAGTAGTAACAATGTAAAATATTCTGATTGTTTTTGTATTTTACTTATCGTAATCTCATTATTAGGAACGTTCAATGGGTAACTTAATTATAACCTAATTGACTAACGGTTTTGATATTCAAGTTAGATAGATTAAGCAGTAATAAAATAAGCAAACCAATGGTGTACCCAGACTTGAACTAATAGTGATTATAATTACTTTAAAAAAATAACTTTAACTTTTAAATACAAGCGCCTTGATTTGAGTGCAAGATCATCAATAATTTCTTTAATTGATACCTATACCAGCGTTTCTCAATCTTTCGGTATTTGGGGCCCAATTTTTAATAACAATTTTTATGGCGCCTCTCTACCTAAAAGACATTTTTTTCTAACTTTGATTTTCGCAAATGTTTTTATTACATATTTTAACTTATCTTGATCAGCAATTTCATGCTCAATCGCTAAAATGGCTAACCCATTATGACGATTTTGCGTTGTAGTTGAACGTAAAAGTTCTTAATCAATTTTAATTTGGAAAAATTTCTTTCTCCACTTGCAACGGTTACTGATATATACAGCAATACTCTTAAAGAAACACTTAGGTTTGTGGCACAATTTAACATTTATAGATTTATAGGTTTGGTTTGCATAATCTTTAAAATGTACCGAGATGTATGACTAACGCGATACTACAAAGTGAGAATTATACCGGATCCTAAAATAGTAGTTATCGCAACAAGTGCTTCTAGTACGTGTTACGATCAACATTTTTTCTATAAGCGCATTTATTTCTAAAATAGAGAATTAACCTGTGTAATGACATTAGGTACAACATACAGTTTAAGTATACATATATTAAACCGATGTTATGTGCTGAATTGGTGTGGTGGTTAGGGTTTCGGGCTCATAACGTAAAGATCTAGGTTCAAACTCGGGCATGGGCGAAAATATAGGTATTGCTTTTTTTTTAATTTATATTTTATTTTTCTTGTCAAAAAATCCTACATCTAATATTCAATCTTATTACATATTAACAAAATATCTTATATATTATATAATTATTAAATTATTTATGTATATTAATGGTAAAATTGCAGGAAGTTACATGTTTAATGTTAATAAGTGAGTCTAGGTTTTTGTTAATATTTTGACCATCCAGGTGTTGCGTGGAAGTGTTAACTATGACATTTGAGTTTGTCATAGATTCCAAATGTGCGTTAGAAGTTGATGGCGTTGATTGATTTTCATCTATGTTTAAAATCTTTGAGCACATTGCCTTTTTAAATTGAATCGAATCATCCACATAGCTTTCTGCTACTGTGGTGGATTTCCAACCACCTACTCGTTTTATCGCAGTTACATCTTCTCCTGCATTCGCTAGCATTGTTGCAGCAGATCTTCTAAAACTGTGCCCAGTACATAGGGATGGTTCAGCAAGTTTTAAATAAGATGCAATTAAGGATGGCATCTTACCAAGAAGATCATCTTCTCGCACGCTTGTAGAAAAAAAAAACTTTTTGCAATTTTGCAAAATATCAGGTGCAAATGCTAGATCATAATCTTTTGTCTGCATCAGTTTGCTTACTGGATCAATACAGTTTAAAATGTGATACCATAGAACTATTGAACACAAAAATTTAATTTGTTTAGTACAACTTAATAAACCCGAGGCTTGGTCCCTTATTAAATTATCAATTTCTTCATTCTCATAAATGCTTAAAAGGCGTCGTATACGCCTCCGATATAAAATCTTAAAGGCTCTATCCTACTCTCCCATCTAGTATCACTTAATGGTTTTATAGTCAACCCCTGGACATGTTTTAGAAGAATTTCCCAGCGAAAACTAGATGCTGAAAAAACATACACATATTAAAGAAGTCAGCGCCTTTCAAAGATGCTTTTACCATATCGTTAACTACTAGATTGAGAGAGTGACTACTACATGGAACGTAGGAAGCTCGCGGATTTAGGTTCTTAATCCTAAATTGCACTCTTGATTTATCGCCCAACACTTTAATCTTAGGTTCAGTTCTAGAAAATATTTTTGAGACTGAATATGATTTTTAGAAATATCGTGGTCTTTTAGACGCCCATGGGGACCACGGCTGTCAAAAGTTCGTAGATACTGGCTTCAAACAAAGTCTATGTAAAACTGCGCCCGTAACACATCTATATTTCATTTGTTTATCTGAGGGGTATACCATATATTTCATAACCTTTTTTAAGGTATTTGAACAAGCTCCTTCGCAAGTTTTTTTTTTTAATCTCTCGAAATTTATGCCAATGTATAGTAAATGGTGACATTATACGAAACAATGTTAAAAAATAATCACCTTGTATGAAACAATTTTACTCCGGAAGACATTCATCAGTCTCATGCGATTCGCTATTTTTACAAAAAGTTTTTTTAATTATTCATATTTGCCTCGTTAACTTCAACAATAACTAATAATTATCATTTCTAAATAAATAACCGCTTGCTGAACATAAATAATATTTTAATATAAATTTAATGAATGGTTTATACTCATATACATATTTTTTTTGCATAATTAAATTTCGTTGTTTAATAGATTGACATCCAGAATTTCTAATAATGATTCATGTAGGCTATTTCCTTAATTAGGTTCGCAATTAAATAGTTAAAAAATTGATAAGAAAAATAAGTAATAAACAGAACGTTTACAAATAGTATTGTAACGCGAATTTTAATAATAAAATTACAAAGAAGATGAAGAAAGTCTAAGAGCTCTAAAAAGAAAAAGAAAATGCACATTGTATATTGTACAGCCCACTTATACAAGGTATGTCACAACATCTCACGACATCGTTATTATTAATGATATCGAAATACTTTTTTATTAGAAGTGTGACACATATCACATTTTTAGGTAGGTTCTTAAATGTAAAGTTTACTTTTAATGCCAAAGTAAGTAGCTCGTATTGAATAAGCTTTGTCCCTTTTTCCTAGCCATTAAGAAAGAATGTAAATTCTCTAAAAAAAGTATATAGAGTATAAGTAGAATTTTTTAAACTTCTTTTAACTATTTCTTCAAAAATTGTATCATCTTCATTGATTTTTTTGCACAAGATGAAATATTATAGGGATGGAATCGATGCCTTTTCAAGATTCTCTGAAGAGTTCCTGATGTTTAACATGTTCCAAAATTGCAACATGTGCAGTTTTGTTAGTAATAGCGTGTTTTTTCATATTTTTTTTTGTTAGCAAATTACCCATTATTCAATTTATCACGTAAGGATGGTCGAGAATCTTACCAGGTCGATTTTCAGTAAAAAATTTTATGGTTTCCAAAATTTAATATTTTCAATGCAATTTAATGTGTCATTTTTTTTAAAGGTATTGAAACTTAAACATGCTTAGAATGCTTTAGTAAGATACCAATAAGGGAAATTTTTCTGCCAGACATTAAATTTTTTATAATGTACATATCACCGGACAGCGTTTTTTGAAAAGAGTCCATCTTATACTGGTATACAGTTATATAATAAACTACCAATTTCCTTAAAAGAAAATCAAAATTTTAATGCATTTGAAAAATCTCTCAAAGATCTCTTGTCACAATACGCATTTTATAATATAGCTGAATTTTTGGATTGTAACTTTTAGTACTTTTTATTTATCTTTGCATTTTTGTTTATCTATTTATCTTTCTACTTTTATTTATCTTTGTATTTTTATTTATCTTTGGATTTTTATTTATCTTTGTATTTTTATTTATCTTTGTATTTTTATTTATGTTTGTATTTTGTTTAAAAATTGTTGTATACATACTTATATACTACATATCTTTTTTAATGTTCTACTTGACTTTTCCAATATCATGTAAATGGTCTCAATGGAATAAAAGATTATTATTATCTTAAAATCTTTTTTTATACTTTTTATTTGATAATTGTGGATTTCAGCTACATGATTCTATATAACTAATGCATACTCCAGGTGTTTTTACGGTTTCCTATCATGTAAAGCCTAATGTTGGTATTAGATACTATTAAAAAACATTAATTTAATAATTATATGTACAAAAATAACATTAATGCAGTAATTATACTTAAAAAAATATATTTTTTTCATAAAATCACTTACAACTAAACTTACTTAGAGAAAATTGTATAAAAAAACTTTGTTTAATTGCATCGATTGATTGGGAAAAAACAAGTTTATTATTATTTGCGATTTTTACTATATATTACGCAGTTGCAGTGATTTTGAGTCATGTTTTCTATTCACAGTCATTACAAAGAAAAAGCATTATAAATCAATAATAAATGCTGGTGGTTTATAAATGATTATACAGGGTGTCACCAAAAGGTTGGGATAGTGCTGGGATAAAAATAAAATGATTAACCACAACTTATCTATATCTTAAATCGTTTAGATAAGTCTGTGAAAGTTTAAAAAAAAAGTTATGCAAATTTTGAGATATTTGATATGGCATGA